CCCACAGGACGGCCGTGTCACTGTGTGTAGCTCGTTGGACTGCTGTGCTGGCAAAGCTGTCAGCGTACACACACTGAAACGCCACCGAGAGACTCACACAACACACGCACACACACTCTCTCTCTCACTCAAAGCTCAGCTGCTGTAATAAAACTTTAACCTGCTCTCCAGGTGCCCTGCCTCCTATAAACATGTAGAGCTGCCACCTTTGAGAACAACTAACAAGTGGCCAAGTGTCATTCTATGCTATTGTTTTGCTCTCACATGCTCTATCGCTTCATCTTGTTTTTCCTAAGGAACACACTCCTTGGCGTAGCAGTAGTACATTGCACTGACATACTGACCACCATTCAGGTAGTTACAGTTAAAGTTCAGTTAAAACAGCCATTAAGTCCAAGTCATTGGTCTGTTAATGTCAGTAATAAAGCAAGAAACATATAATTATATAATTTAAAAATACACATGAGAAAATATACACATAAGCCTGACAAATACATATATATATATATATATATATATATATATATATATATATATATATATATATATATATATAAATTTGTTAGTACAACCCCAAAAAGTTGGGACACTGTGCAAAAAGTAAACAAAAACAGAATGCAATGATATGCAAATCATGTAAACCCTATAATTTATTTAATATAGCATAGAGACAATATGTTAAATGTTGAAACTGAGACATTTTATTGTTTTTTGAAAAATATATGCCCATGTTGAATTTGGTGCCAGCAACGCATTCAAAAAAAGTTGGGACAGGGCCTGTTTACCACTGTGTTTCATCACCCCTTCTTTTAACAACACTATGTAAGCGTTTGGGAACAGAGGAGACACTGCTGTAGTGAAAGTGAAAGTGAAATGTTTTCTCATTCTTGTTTGATACGTTATACATTTGATGCGTCAAATGTCATCAGTGGATGACAAGTCTGTACTGCAGGCAGGCCAGTTTAGCACTCAGACTCTTTTAATACGGAGCAATGCTGTTGTAATTTATGCAGAATGTGGTTTGACATTGTCTTGCTGAAATAAGCAAGGACTTCCCTGAAAAAGACGTCGTCTGGATGGCAGCATATGTTGCCAAAACATGTAGATTTCATTAAGCATTAATGGTGCCTTCACAGATGTGGACGTCACCCATGCCATGTGCACTAATGGACCCCATACCATTATGAATACTGGCTTTGGAACTGTGCGCTGATAACAAGCTGAGTGGTCTTTAGCCCACTAGAGGACACAGTGTCCATGATTTCCAAAAATAATGAACTTGGGCCCAGAGAAGGCAGCAGCATTTCTGGATCCTGTTTATATTTGGTTTCTTCTTTGCGTTTTAGAGTTTTAACTTGCATTTGTGGATGAGGCGATGAGCTGTTTTCACAGACAGTGGTTTTCAGAAGAGTCCATGTAGTGATTTCCACTACAGAATCATGTCTGGTTTTAATGCGGTGACACCTGAGGGCCCAAAGATCACAGCCAGCAAATTCTGGTTTTTGGCCTAGGAATCTGAAGTGGCCAGTCCATTGTTGAGCAGCTTTAATTTACAAGTGCTCTTCTTGTCTCACTAATGGCTTTTTGACAGCTACACATCCTTTCAAACCCATGTTTACATGCAGCCTCATAATCTATTTATAATCCGACTGATAGCTCAATTTGAATACAATGCGTCCATGTATACACCTCAGTCGAAATAGACTAGCCTCATTCAGGCCATACACTTCGAAATTCACTTTCTATCCATTTGAACGAGGTGGGTAATCCTGTAAATCTACATCCTTAATCAGAAGGCTGAAGTACGCTCTGCGCATGTGCGCTTGCGTTATAGCAAAAGTTTATAACATTCAACATGGCGGGAGCAGAAACTGGTCTGCAGAGGAGACTGTGAACTGTAAAAGACAGCGAAAATTCAGGTAACACACTGCTGCTCGTCTCACTCTTTCCTTATAAAAGTGAATTATGTTATATCGAATCTCCACAGAAGTATGTCCTGAAAATGGATCACTTGTACTTAATGGAAGTTTTGACTGGTTAGTAAATAAATGAAGGGTATATATGTGTGTAAATGTGACATCAGCACAAAAGGGCACCGTCGACCAACACAGTCCACATAATGTAGAGGCATTCCCATTGCGCTACTGCTCTGACCCCTGTGGATCTCTGTGACTCTCATTCTAAGCTTGTCCGTACAAAGGATTTCTGTAAATGAGCCCCATTCTTCCTGTGTGTGTGTGTGTGTGTGTGTGTGTGTGTGTGTGTGTGTGTGTGTGTGTATGTGTGTGTCTGTGTGTGTGTGTATGTGTGTGTGTGTTGAGATCAGAGGCTTTGTGCTCCAAGCCACTGCAGCAATCTGCCATTAGACTGTCACAAGGCCCAATAATAACCTCTCTAATAACAGGGTAGGCTGCTCTCTCTCTCTCTCTCTTTCTCTCTCTCTCTCTCTCTCTCTCTCTCTCTCTCTCTCTCTCTCTCTTTCTATATCTATCTCTACTCCCCCTACCACTCTCCCACCCGTAGCGTGCTCTTCCTAAAGCAGCGGCGCTTCTTCATCTCCGACGTCACGTAATTAGCGCAGCTGAATAAGGAGCGCCTCGCCACCTGCAATTACCCAGATTGGGGCTGACAAAGCGCCGGGGCGAACGAAACGGATGCTGCCGTCTGACTGACAGAGTGCAGTAATGAGGAGCTGAGAGGATGTGAGGAGCACCAAGGGTACAGCCAACCCCAAAAAAAAATCCACTGCCGCCCTGTGGAGGCTCTGGGATGTTACTTGTTTTTTCCTTCCCAGCTAAATTTATCCACAACTGGCAACCTGCCTGCTTTGAAAATAGCAAAATCAATCTTCATTTCACCACGATTACTTATGGAGATTGCAGGGCATGGCGGAGGCGGTATAGGGGGTCTTGGGAGAAGAGTGCAGAGTAAAGGGAGATGTACTCTAGAGTCGGTGTGAAATGAAAAGTGAGATATGAAGAAATCAAGGTGATGCTAAATCTGAGGTGCTGGGAGTGATGATCAGACCTCAGGAATTATGGTAGTTTCTCAGCAGCCTATGTGATGGGACAGATTATCATGAACGTACCCTCGTTTCCATTTCTTTTTCTCGTTGACTAGCTTTCCACCTTGCCATGCTTTGTACCTGAACAATGAACATGTAATATGAGTGCTCACTTGCTCAAGGCACGACCTAATATGATAATAGACAAGCCAGTCACAGATAACTAGTGGACTGCTCTGCTGTCAAGGTAAGCTATACATTAATTAATGTTCAGTAGTACTTACCTTAGTTTCAAGAGATTGCAGTGCACTGAAATTGTTCGCAGTTGGCATGTATAGACAAGGATAACGTGAGCACACAGTGCATCTAACGTATATACATTGCATGGTTAATGGGGTAACGCTTCGTTGTAGAGTTATGCTATGGCCCTTCCTGAAGTCTACAATTTTCCTTCCCTTCGAGGGTTCGAGGGGCTTCTGGTAGAACCTTCCCTCGATCTTTGCAAGAATCACAATGCCCTGAAGGTGTTATGTGGTGATATGCATCACTGATCACTTCCTAAGAAGGTTTCAGTTGTTGTATCACAATGGTTGTGTTTAAGACTGTTCACTTATGATCAGATCACCCAAGATGTATGTTAATGCCAGGTATAAGCAAGGCCTAATTTGATAACAGCCAAACCACAGCTTTCTAGTTGGCCGCTCTGCTTTCAAGGTAAGCTATGCACTAGTTAATGTCTGGTAGCACTTACCTTAGTTTCGAGAGATTACAGTACACTGAAGTATTGTGCAATCGCCCTGCACAGACAAAGAATACAAAGGGCTTCTTGGGTAACTTTTTGCTGCAAGTTGTGTGGAGGAATCGAGATACTGCCCTACCTGAAGTCTACAATTTTGTTGACACCCTCCCTTTGAGGATGGACTGCCACTAGAACCTTCCTTCGACCCTTGTGAGACATGCTTTCCTCCTGAAAGTGGCAGATTCACCTGGGGGCAAATACCATTCTTTTCCAAAATCGGAAAGGAGGGTCAGGCCTCCTCTGTGATGATGTGTACAGAGAAACTCAACAATGGGTAGAGCAAAGCAGCAAGGAGCATTGCCACTCTTGCTGACAGATTTTAGCATTCCTAAAACAGATCAGCGGAGATAAAGAGAGCATTACAAAGAGCAGAGAGATACCATGGAAACCCTGCAGGACAACTCCAGGAGTGGCATGCAGCACTGCATCACATTCTGTTTGTCTCCATTTGAATCTCAATTGCCCCATGCTCCTAGATATAGATCTAGAAGAAATAGAAATCAATTTGGGACAATTTCTTTTTAGGGGGATAGAGGCGTGGATTTTGAGATGGGCGACTCACTGGTCTGCTGTGGCAAAGTACAGGCTGTGCAGAGCTTTTATTAAAGCTGAGATGGACTGAACATGTGATATACAAACCTGGACTGCTATGACATCCCTTTATTGGTTTTTATTTGTACACAACTATGCGAATGGGTACAGAGGGTCTCTCCAGTCAGACACTGTATTAATCAATGTTTGATGTGTTCCCTTCTTGCTCACTGTAGCTTAGCGAGTGATATCTTAAATTATGTGCATTTGCAGCTTGAAAATAAATGTTCTCAACAACAGTAGATGTACACATGTGGTTCTCAGCCTTGGGAATCCATTGTTCCCTCTGCACATTTTTGTGATATCCTTGCCCTACTACATCTGACCCAACTCAAGAAAGTCTTGATAATTACCTGAGAAGTTGAAACAAACTGGGAAAAATAACTAGAAATATGTAGAGTAATATTGGGAACGCTTAGAATACACCAAGCATGTTGCTGTGATAAGAAAACCTCATATCATTTTCAGGATGAATGCGCCAGTAGAAATTCAGAATCTCTTATAATGATATTGTTCTGGGATCTTTCAATATGAGGTTTTCTTGTGACAGCAATGAAATGCCTTGTGGTCATTGTTGTTCATTTTCATTTGTTTTACGTTCTACAGGTTGATCTGGGTGAGTTCAGAGCAGTGTATCGAAGCGTGTGTGGATGACCCCGGCTGTGGCCGGCTGACCCCCTGTCCTGATGATGAAAGGCCTGTCCGGCAGCCGCAGCCATCACCATGTGGTGGCCTGCGAACCCTCTTATGACCCACTAGGTCACCATGGTGACCGCAAGCCCTACCTCATTGGCCAGATTGATGCCCCGCCCCCGCCAGAGCACCCTTACTACTCGGGACGGAGCTCCTACCAGCCAGACTGTGTAGCGGTGCCTTATGGGACGTTTCCACGGCGCCACTACAGCTCCAGCCACGAGCTGAAGGATGAGTGTGCCTTGGTACCCTACACAGGTGGAGGCGCATCCAAAGGTCAGCAGCGGGTACCGGTAAACCTGCTGGAACAGCTGGACCGCCAGCTTCCTGTGTCCCGGGATGGCTACCACACACTTCAGTACAAACGGGCTGCTGCAGCTGCTGCATCGGCCGCTTTGGAGCAGCGCAATGACAGTCCGGGGCGTATCCGGCACTTGGTGCATTCGGTGCAGAAACTCTTCACCAAGTCCCATTCTCTTGAAGGGCCACACCACAGCAAGGGTAGCGTGAATGGTGGGGGTGGAGGTGGGGGCAAGGCTAGTCCAGACGGAGAAGGAGGACCGGCGCCGACACAGAGACAACGGAAACGCAGCAAAAGCCGTGAGCGCTGCAAGTCTGCCGAACCCAAGCAGAGGGCACCACCCTCAGGCTACTGGAGCTCGGATGAACCTGAACGGGACATCTGCCCACTGCGCCATGCCCCGGCACCCCCTGGAGTCATGACCATGGGCCGGCACCCAGACAAGTCGCAGTCACAGTACTTCCTGGACGCATACCAGGAGGGGGCGATGCTGAAAAGCTCACGCAGCAACAACGACGTGGCAAAATGTCAGTCATGCGCCATTGCAGTACCATCGCTGGGAGTGGACGGGACGCAGCTGGTGAAGAAGAGCTCGTGGTCGTCCTCTCTCACGGTGAGCAGGGCGCGCCAGGTCTACCAGAAGGCCGCCATAAATGTAGATAAGGCGCTAGTGAAAGCAGAGGCTTGTCAGCAGGAGCGTTCGTGCCAATTCTTGCAGGTATGCAAATTTTTAAAGAAAAAATAATCCAACACCCCTTTTTCGATTTCCTCCCCTGCACCCCCATGCTTACCTAACCCACCCTCACAATCACCCTCACCACCACCACCACCACCACCAGCCACCACTACTACCACCTCTTCTTCCTCCTCTTTCAACCCTCTTCTGGAGACAGCCTCCAGCTTTGATTTGAGTTCTGCTGAGAAGTAAGTGCAAACCACTAGCCGCCTTACTTTCCGTTTAGATGCCAAGCATCTGTTTTGGATCCATTCAATCTCTTTAGCATTTATTCTAGTATTTTTTGTATTACCAGATTTGTTTATTTATATTATTTTTTTTTATTTTTATCTTGGACTTTTAAAGGGGCTATAACAATAATTCAGCTTTTAGATGTAAGTTTTAACACCTTCACTCTCCAGTCCATGTTTGTAAAATAAGCAGCCCGTTTTTAACTCATCCTGGCTGTGATGTCATGTCATAATAGATTCATCATGGCCTGTTCAGCCTACAGACGATTAGCCTTGCTCAGACTAATGGAGAGATAAGGAGTGTTGTTACTGCAGACAGCTGTAACAAATTTTTGCAAAGGAAGACGTGGGGAACATTATTAAATGTTGTGCTATTCCTGGCTATCAGGAAGCAAACTGAGCATTGCAGCCTTTCAGTGGATCTATACATCTAAGGGGAAAGTTTATGTTATCAGCCTGAACTAACACTGTACATTTCAGTCCAAACTACTCTTTGAACAAGGCAAAATACAGGGCGACCAATGAGAAAGAGCAAACACTTACATATTATTAAGACACAGAGGTTGACAGATGGCCATGTAAAAATGAATTACTGCTGCCTCTGGCACATAAAACCCCATAAACTTTATAAATAGAGTTCTGGAGGGAAAAAAAGAGGAAATATGTGGAATATAGCCCCTTTAAAATCACATCTCCTTTCCAGTATGCTTTTCCCCTGTTCCTCTTATTGTTTATATATTATTATAATGTGTGCGTGCATGTGTGTGAGAAAGAGACTGAGAGTAAGATGGTATGTGTTCATGTGTTTGGGACAATATTGAGTCGATGGTAGACTTGTTTTTCTGATTGAGTGGGGACCCTGGAGAGAGTAAAAAAATGTGATTATAAAATTTTAAATCCTAAACCTTCAGCTTTAGACAGTTAAGCGGTGAATGCTGCGGTGTTTTAGCCGGCGTGTCGGTAAAAGCACTTCAGAAGGCGAGCAGCGCACTGACAGTGGGTTTCATCACACTTTCAATTATTCAAATCAGCAGCAGAGCTGAGCTCCGATTCAAGCCTCATACACCTCACACAGGCAGAGACTACCTGGACACGCACTGTTTATAAGGAGCCCTTTTCTGGTTTTCTGGAGGAGTTATTACTGTAAGCTTTGACACACTTTTAGCAGACACAAGAGAGTGTAGTAATACATACAGGAGCAGATATATTCAATTCAGCTCAGTCTTATTTACATAGCTATTTCGAAAGCAGATAATGGCCCTTATTCTTCTGTTACATACGGTATCGTTCCTTTACTTAGTGTCCGGTCAATTGGCCATTTCTTACAAGTTATTCTTATTTTCAGGAGATATTTCTGAGGAGATTGGGTATAACATGATTCACTTGCATAAAGAAGGGGAAAGTTAAAGGAAATTAATAAAAAAAAAACAAGAGTTTCCAAAACCAGAGCTCACAAATGGGACTCCTAACAACTGCGCAAGACCTGGTAAACCACCAAAACCAACCATTAGATAAACAGGACACTCTTTATAGTAGTTTGGGTGTTATATAGAACCATTTTCAACAAGGTTCTATATATGACTATCTGCACATTCTCCATTACTCTGAAGAACCCTTTCACAAAGCAAAGACCCCCTTAATCATGCAGTGGGTTTGTTGAGTGTTCATGGTTCCATATAGAACCATTTTCTTTACTAAAGAACCCTTGAAGATCAATTCTTTTAAAACGTACTTAAAACTTTGCAGAGGAGAAAATCAATCAATCCGATTTAAAAAATTGCAGATGTTTCTATCCTTCCTTTCATTGTGAGTAGACAACAGTGCTGTTATTCAGAAAAGGAAATTATAAAATTTAAGAAAATTTGCAAATGCTGGTGTTCTCAGAACAACAGGTTGTTCTTCCAAGACACCAGACCTCAACATCACTGAAAGTCTTTGGGATTACCTGGACAGTTAAAGGCAGAAATGCAACCAACTTCTAAGTGTCAAACATGATTTGCAGATTTTATTGAAAAACTAAAAGCAGTTTACCAAAAAAAAAAAAAATAGAAGCTGCAATGAAGTGAAAAAGTGAACTCTCTAAATACTGAAAAAATGAAATTTTATCAAGTTCAGAAGGCCTCTTTGTCAAAAATGGGTCATACAATTGTCATTTTGACTGGAAAAGAAATAAAAGAAGGGTTTATATACGGTTTAGAACAGTAAAAATCACTAAAAGTGATCATTAACAATCTTTAGTGATAAGCTTTTATTGGCTCACTATTAAAACATTTGCATAAATTAGGCTGTGCTTTGTGTAGAAAACATATAATTATATGTACATAAGGGCAAACTGGCGCATGTCCTTTGCAAATGATATGTAAATATGGCACCAGTTTGTCTGTCAGGGTGGTTAAGGCTGCACTCGTTTTCTGCTCAGCTTTAATGAATAAGAGTCAATGTCACAAAGCAGCTTTCCAGAAATTGGCAGTGTCAGATAGCAGAACAGGCTAATAATGCCTAGGCTGTAACAAGTACCTGTGGTCATGAATGCAGTGTCTTAGGACTAGTGGATAATGTACAAAAGCCATATATGAGATGATAATATTATTAATATTAATAATAGGGTAATTAATAATTAATAATAGGGTAATAAATATCTTCCAAAGGGTCAGAACACACATAACTGATCTGCATTAAATCCTGAACATACCAGGCTTATTATTCAGTAACTACAGGGACTTCAATGCAAACTAATGGAGCTTTTTAGGTTATAGAAGTAAGTAATACTTTGGGCCCACTGGTGGGCCCATGGCTTGTTAAGGGGTTAATTATCAGCTATTTGGAACATTTTTGGGGGCAATTAATACACAGTAAACATACGCCAAGCCAAACCCTCTTACTCCAATGATTCATTTACCTTTCTTTTTAAAACGTTCCAATTTCTTTTAATGAGATGTCAAGGAAGCCTCAGTGTAACATCAAGTATCCCAGAAGCATACTACATAATTTCTTTATCCTTTTCGTCCGTTGTTTGACTACTCTGACAAATGGCCCAGTCGGAAGCACCAAGACGACGAACAGAGAGCAGTTGAGTGTGAATTGTTTTTTTTGTTTTTTTGCACATGGGCCCTCAGTCACACACTCGTTTGAGGCTAAACTGGGCAGAGAGAATCTCTCCCATGTTCTTTCTCACACACGCTTTGTCAATACAAGGAGTAATTGCTGTCTCTCTTTTTTTTTTCCTTTTCCTGTGCTAAATTCAGAGGCTGGTTGCCATAGGAACTGTGAGTGACAGGGCTTTTGCTGAGCAATTCCGGATGTGAAAAAATTGTGGGATGGCACTTCGATATTGAGCGAGTGGTTGATCCCACTCAGACGCTGAATGATCCTGCTGCCAAATTAGCCATAGTGGTGTTTTGAAAGAGCGTATATAGACTTCTAAAACTTTTTCAAGGCTTCATTTGAGTTTGTTCTACAGTTAACGGTATATAAAACCACATACATTTTGTAAGTGGAGAAGAAAAAAAATAAATGAGAATTATTTAGAACAGAAAATGTAGAATCTTTTTCAATAGTTGTCCCAAGTTCCTTCTAGTATACGTGTTGTTAGAGCATGTATGTGTGTTTGCAAGAAATTTTATTTTATGAGACTTTGTTTGAGATTTGAGTGCTCGCATACTGGTGTTCATGTGATAAAGAAATCTTAAAGGTGCATTCTGGCCTAAAACTACCGTTTAATATGTAATTTATTACATTCTATAGTATATAGTATTTTCTAATTTAGCATTGCACCCCTCAGCTTTTGTCTCACTACAATACCCAGCATGCATTACTCAAATGCAAAACTATCCCTTGGGAATCCCTACAGCACCCTGACCTCTAGTCGCTGATCTAGAGGCTAATGCTGCCAGCTGTTTTTAGTGATATTTCTCTGTTAAACAAATAATTTAGCCGAAATATTTTCAAACAGCCAATCCCCAAACACTTGTATCCATATCTAACTTTCAAAGGAATAAAGAATACCTACTACGCCTATCCTTCAAACTTGTCAATGCTCGCTCCTCTGCTGGTGTCAGCATGTGCGGCATATTGTCAAGCATATAACAACAAAACTTATTAATTGCAAAATTGCAAAGGTTTTTATTAATAAGTAGGTCTACTTTATCAATACAAAATATAGGGTTCCTTATGACTGTATACATACAGCCATATTCTTGCTATGCCACAGTTAATAAAGATTTAAAGAATATTTTCCATAGATATACAGCTCTATTTAATCAATAAGCCTGATGCAATACACAGTAGAAGAATGTCACTGTATATTGCGATTATTTCATGCACTTCTTAATTTTTTTTTGTTGTATAATAATGACCATATGATAATACCTTCGCTTTATAAGTACTTTTTGGTCACCAAATTACCACCACAAGTCTTATTTAGCACCAAGCTAGTGCCCCTTTTCCCATGCTGGGGCTGAACCTCAAACAGCTCCCTGCTCCCTACATAGTACAAATACTGGCTCCTGCACCCCAACAGTGCATAACATATAGCCATTTGGGATTCATCTACATCCATACTCAACATATAGTGCACTACCTGGCTGTAGAAGCTAGAATTTCAAAACTTCCAGAGTGCACTATTTAGGCAATATGGAGCTGTTTGCGATTCAGCCTGGGTTTGATGATACTTAAGGTAGATCAGACTGAAAAATTGCCAGTTGAAGCATGTAAGCTATTCAAGTGAAATTCTTTAGTCTTTTATATTGCCAT